CGATGAGAAGCATCTATTAGTGGCCAGTCTTTCTTTATTCGATGGATTTAATTAGTGAAATACCCCGAATAAAGGCCGTCATTTATGCCACCGAGCTCTCGGAGGTCGTGATATGGTCGCACGTTCAATTGTCACTTCTTTAAACAATGATTGCAATGCTGCTAATCTACATGTACACTGCTGACTATCTGAAGCTTGAGTGTTGAAAGACTTGAGAATGACTAAAATTATCTAACAATTTTCTCGGAGAGCGTGTTTTCACAGAGTAATGTTTACTTCTCTCTCCGTAGTCTTAACAATTAGTACTTAACACTTATCAAGTAGACTAGGCAATCAAGACGAGCGTCTATCGACACTGACGTATTATGACTTGGGATGGCACATGCACGTACTCTTAACGCTTAAAGGAGAATACGAACGAAAACAAAACTTTTGATATATTGTAAAGAATATTCTAAAAGTCACCTTCCGTGATTAAAATTAAACAAACAGTTTGTAAAATAGCCATAAAAACACAAAAAAACGTACTCGTATTTCCGCCTAGTACGGAGACACCCGACATTTAATGAGTACAGGGCGTATCACGTGACATGACGTCATATATGCCTGTTGCTGATGGCTTCCTCTTTGATTTTACCTCAACTTAACAGTGTCCATGGATTCTGAAGCAGTAAAAGATGTTCCTGATGTCATTTCTGAAATGGATGTTAGACCGTATCAATACGATCCGATTTTACATCTTGCAAGACAATTTTCCAGTGAAGATGAAGAAGAATCAAGCGAAACGAAGGCACCGCTTGAGGTCAAAATAAATTTAAAAGTAGACCATATCATTTAACAAGAATATTATTTGTCAACAAAATGTGATACAGTTCCATTTCAAGAATTTAAAAAAAATGTGATTGCAGTTCCTTTTGTGTCAAATGGGTGACTGTAGGGTGTCTGGGATTAAAAACAAAATAATTATGAAAATAGAGTTTATCTGCTTCAAAAATTACACTGGAATTATTTTGTTGAAAAAAAAATGGTATCCTAGTTCTCATTAATAACGTATCAAGTCTCCATACAAGATCCCAGCCTGGTCGAGCAGAGATAATATTCGCGACGCAGATAAGTTATTCCCTGAAAACTGGTGAATTATAAATTACTAGTCAGAACAATGTATGTTTCCCCAGTGTTTGTTTATGGAAATAGTTATGGTACTCGGGCATGGCCTCAGAATAACATCTTGTCAGCCAATGAGAATACAGAACAACTTTCACGGCACACACTACTGAAAAATAGCGAGTATGATGCCGACGTGCGTAATTGGACAAAATGGAAAACAATGAAAGCAACAAGTACTTCATGATTTGCCGTTGTGTTCGGCAATGTTTTGGGTAGACTGGAGCATTTAGGGCTCAAAACCGAAAAGAACGTTATTTCGAAACATCTCTTACTGATTTTGATAATATATATCTCATGGGTACCAGTCGAACTGCCCCAGCTACAAAATGCCCCAGCAAATTTGGTCATTCATTCTAATTTGGTCAAATTTATTTAAAATGATTAAATATATGCCGTAAATGCATATGTCAACTTTGATATTATGTTCTTTATATAAAAGTTATTAGGAAGTAATATTTCTGATAAATGTTCCCTTAGTAAACTCATAACTATGTATATATACTCTCCAAAAAAAGAAACGCATATAGGAATCTAAACTGTATTTTTATGTTTATTTTGAAACATCTTGTAGGCGTTATGAGTCAATGAAATATAGCGAAATTGCACACTGGGAATGCAGACTTATCCATCTTTGGCACCAACTCGAGGAAAGTCAGTTTGACTGTCACATGGAGACGTGTGGTGGCGCTGAAGTCAATACCTTGTGTGACCACCGTGGGCATCAAGAACTGCATGGCGTCGCCTCGGCATCGAACGAATAAGTCTCAGAATCTAGAGTTTCCCAATGGCAGCCCACTCTGCCTGTAGTGCCTGTGCGACTTGCTGAAGTGTCTGGGGCTGAGGGTTACGGCGTCGCACCCGTCTGTCCAGGGCATCCCACAGATGTTCGATCGGGTTTAAGTCCGGTGATTTTGAGGGCCAGGGGAGCACATTGATGTTGTGGTTGTGGAGGAAGTCTCTAGTGTGACGTGCTGTGTGGGGCCTGGCATTGTCCTATTGAAACAACTCCCTCTGGCGATCAATGATTGGAAGGAGGTGTGGGCATAGGATTTCGTCATAGTACCGTTGAGCTGTCAGGTTGCCCTGGATCATCACCAAATCACTTCTCCTATGGCAGGTGATCGCTCCCGACATCATAACACTTTCCCGACCGAATCTGTCCACCTGGGGAACGCAAGCGTCGGCGAAACGTTCACGTCGACGTCTGTACACCCGCATTCTTCCATCGCGTCGTTCCAATAGAAATCGTGATTCATCACTGAACCAGATTCTACGCTAATTCGGTAGGTTCCAGGCCTGATCGTTGGTGCACCATTGAACTCGATGTCGACAATGTTGTTGTCGAAGCACAGGGCCAAAATAAGGTCTTCTGGCACGTAAACCAGCCTCTCTCAACCTGTTCATGACGGTCTGTGCAGAAAGCCCCCTCAATCTGGGTATTTGTCGAGCGGTACGATGACGCAGGTGATGTCAGGGGCGGATACAGCATTGTGATAAAAAAGGGGGTGCACACTATTGAGAAAAGGGAGGGTGCACACTTCATTTTCACCAGAGTTTCAATGGTCATTTAAAGGTCACATGTAACCAAAAAATCAAATCATAATTAAAACACAATTATCACTTATTCATGACATATAATATACATTGCTGGTTATGAAAAAAACATATAAACAAAATTATAAGCGTACAATCGCAAATCAAAAGTGCAATATTATGTACTTCGGTTTACTTCCCAAGAAACGAAGCAGCTGGGATAACGAACCCAGTCAGAGCGGGTGGGTGTGCACTCAAGTGTAACGGCTGGTTCATTTGCAGATGCCCTCACGGGTCATTGTGTGTGTATATATAGAGATGTTGGGTTTTGTAAATACATGCTCATTTTTTGTGTATAACATTTTGCAATCAACAGACATCATAACATGTCATGTGTTCAAGTATCACACCTGCCTGTGTGTGTAATTACATAATGTGAGAGAGACCGAACTCGGGCCATAAATCAATGCATTTTGTTTATGGTGTATAGCCTGATTGGTGTTAAGTTCAAATTGCATGTGGTCACTGATAGCAGCTGTGTATTGAATATTGTCATTAGCAGACAGGCAGGCAGACACACAGGTGTCAATAAAACAAGACATTGAGTTTAGTCTGTGACAACGACATATCTATATCACAGTTGGAAATTCTGTCAACGCTAAATAATGGCATTGCTTTTAAGTATCGAACTGAGAAAGTGACTCGGTAAGAAGAACGTGTGGTGAAATAGACAAATGAAATTATATAAACAGTTAATTTATTGTCATAAGATATACAAAGCTCGCGCCTGTGAGATATCAACAAAACATTAGAAAAATAGCTCACACCAAAGCCTTCACCGAGTATTCACCGGACAACCGCTTCCAAGCTGCGCGAACCTACTTCACTGCGCACGTGCTATAAGCGCAGCCCAGCTGTTGAAACCCGTTTTCCCCAGAAAAGTCGGGGGAAATTTAGTGAAACGTTTGAACTCCGATTTCGCGCGTTTTTTTTCATCGCGTTATTTTTCAACTTTATAAGTTGAATTTGCATTTTTGACGATTTGTTTCGGTAAGTCCATACCGAAAGGTATCAGAATCTGCAAAGTTGTGTTTTACGTTGCATGTGACCTTTAAAAAACTTTCAGGACAAAAGGGGGGGTGCGCACCCCTGCACCCCCCCCCCCTCTGGATCCGCCTATGGATGTACCCGGATGTAGCGATCCTGCGCCGCAGTGGTCGCTCGAGGTAGCCCACTACAAGGGGCATCTGCTACCGCATTCTGCCGGCGATATCTCTCCTAGAGCCGTGAAATGGTGCTTTGGTGAACATTCATGCGTCGGGCAACTGCACGTTGAGACTGGCTAGCTTCAAGCAAACCAATGGCGATTTGACGGTTGGCTTCACTTAGACGTGGCATTTTGCGTTCGTCAACAATATTCCAAATACAGTGAATAATCGACAGACAGCGATCAACCTTTTATAGCCATCATTAAAACTATCTGATCCCCAACTTTCACGTGCATTGCATGTGAATTGTGTATTCTGTGACACTACACGCCGAAATTGAAAATCATGCTGTTAAATACGGGTATGGCGCGTTTTGTTGTGATGTTTCAAAACATAAACACCATAGGACTCATAAACAGAGCAAAACCTTTTGTAAAATGAATCACGTTTTAATTCATTGCTACATGAAATTGCTATTTTCATGATGCGTTTCTTTTTTGGGAGAGTATACTTTTATATGAAGAACATACTATCAAAGTTGACAAAACTATGCATTTATGGCCTATATTTAATCATTTTTTTTAAATTGGGGCATTTTGACTACCCCGTGAGTTCCAGCGGAATATGCATAATTGCTGAAGCTCAGATAACAGAAACGGTTTCTGTTTTCGCGATAAAAGCAATAAACCATATTTTAAAATAAACATTGGGGTACATGTTTCTGATGACTTTATCTTTCACTCAGCAAATTATTGCAATTGTCTAGTATTCTCCTTATGCTTATTAGCTTTCTGGGCGGTGGAGTAGCCAAGTGGTTAAAGCGTTTGCTGGTCACGCCGAAGATCCGGTTCGATTCCCCACATGGGTACAATGTGTGAAGCTCATTTCTGGTGTCCCCCGCCTAGATAATGCTGGAATATTGCTTAAAGTGGCGTAAAACTATACTCACTCACTAGCTTATTAGTTTACATCTTGGCAATGAAGCTCAGTGTGTAAACTTAATGAAACACCGCATATCAGGCCAATCAATGAAGTAGTGACGTGCTGTAAAGGCGTCTCCACAACACAGACTTAGCACCACCACAATACAGTCTACAAGTACCATTCATAAAACTTGGAATGCTTCATTTTCTGTGTGTAAATGTCATTGAAGTATTTAGTCTGGGCATCGGTGAACCAGTTCTTCCAGTCACCAGTGATTCCTGAAATAGTGATTAAATTAGTGCTCGTGGTTATCACATTATTATATATAGGGTTAAATTCATAGTTATTAGTTACAGTCGTTTCAGTCTTTACAGTTATTACACTCGAATGAATCAAGGACGTATTAAGATGTTGAGATTTGAAACTCCTGACTGTCCAATCAGAACCGTGTATCTTGATCTCCAAGAGTTTCACAGATTTTCAGCGACCGACCAGATGTATATGAAGCAGTGGTGCCATCTAAGACCTATGATAAACACACAATTGTCTTTACCTTTTCTGTAGTGGATGGCATCACCATCACGTTTCTCAGCATTATCTCCCTTTGTCGTCTTCATTTTCGTGAAGTCGGATTGTACAGCTATGTCTCGGACAAGCTGATCCGGACAGTCTATATTTAGAAATTCCGAAATGCTTTTGATCACACGGACAGGATCCTGAAATAAATCAAACACCCACATATAGCCGACTCAATTCGATACAATAATTTTTTGTGATACATAAAAAAGTGACAGATCATTAACAGCTCCAGTATGGATGTGGAAAGGGTTTAGCCGCTTAGATTTCAAAGGAAATTCTACAGGGCGTAAAACATTGGTTACATTTATTTGAATGCATTACTGAAAATCAGTGATATCACCTGCTTAACAGAAGCTTCACCGCTTCACCGATTAGCATGAGCTAAAAGAAACCAACAAAAAAACCCAACAAAACCAAACCAAAAAAGGAAAAAGAACAAAAAAAAACAAAACCAAACACAAGGAAGCACTAGCACGTGTAAAGAACCCATCATAATAGTCGTAGAATTCATCATCATCATCATCATCATCCCCATCATAATACCTGTTTAGTCTCCTCGTATCTGACTATCAACACTGGGTGGTCAGGCTCATTCATTAGTTTCTCCCAAGAGAGAACATCGTCAAACCAGGAGCCCCAGGCAACTACAACACATTGTAAAAAGTATATTCACATATTCTCAGCCTTTGTTAGGGATAATCTCGTATCATTCAATTTATTAATAGACATTAAGGTATACGCTAGACTAACAGCTAGTCTCTGAAATGAACATATTTTAAAGAACATAAAAGTTTTTACATTAAAATGATATATCAATAAAAAAGAAGCTTAGGGACTTTCTTCATTTTCAGAGTGGAAATCTAGACTTGCCACATTTTCTAGACTTGTGTGGGCTTTCTTGGATATATTTGCTTTAGGGTCTGTATGACACACTAGGTACACACCTTACATGTATTAAGAAGCAGTGTTGTGTATCGTTGGAGGATACAACAATATCCCTATCAACACATTTATGAATAGTGGAGATCCACAGCCTGATCAAACCCTAATCGATCAATCCGAAAATCAATCAATTGCAATCATACCGATATCTTATTGTAAAAATATCACAGGCCGCATGAGGAATTTATACAATTTCGATTTGTTTGATTTCGCTAACTTACTGAATGACTATCTTTTTAAAATCATATCTTCACCCACTCTAGCCCTCTGAACAAAAAACCTGGAGATATGCCTTAATGGCTCACTTCTGAACGACTTTTCAATCGAACCAATACCGGGAAAGTGACACTCGGAATGTCTTTTCTGATCAGGCAATCTCCAAAAGGTGAGGTTGGTTGGTTAGGTTGTTTGAGGCCGCACTCAGCAATATTCCAGTCTGGTCCAGACTCGATTATTGTAGCTGTAATATTGCTGCGCGCGGCGTTAAACAACACATAAATAAAAAAAAAAGCTGGATTACCGCGTGCAGCGTTAAACAAAGAAAGAAAGATAAAAAGATATCAACAAACCTTTTCCTTCAGCCGAAGCTACCACATATTCATCAAATCCCATCATTGTACCTTTCGCTATATAGTTAGAGGTAAGAACAAATCGGGACACAAGGACGTCCCTGGGGTCTCGCATCAAATAGATAATCTTAGTTTTCTTCTTCTGCACTTGTGCTGGCAGTGAGTGAAACTGGACATGTGTGTTGAGAATCCTTGGTGAAGGGAGACAACTCAGAACCTCTTCCGGTTGCAATTCTAGTGTCTGAGACTCCTTTTCATGAGGACTAAGTTCCGCTTTTCTTCTCAGCAACATATGGACCAGTTCAAATGTTAGATGTGTTCCTGAAAATATGAAAGTAAGTTAAACGCAGTTGATACTTTGATTTCCACATCCTCATCTTTAACTACTACTACCTGTTAGATGATGGATTTCTTCCCACGCCATTGCACATCAATAATCGTAAACTCGTACAGGTTCCTATGGATGAACTGAGGAGTCCTGAGACCAGCATTACTTCGGGGTTTCTTTCCACAAAGAGCCTCCTGGCCTTGATATTACTGGAATACTATTCAAGGGAGCGTTAAACGCACTTACTCTTTCTGTCGCTGTATTCTTTTGTTTTTAGTCAAAAACCACGAAGATGTGGGATCAGCATGACAAAATTCTGGCTTTGTACCCATCGATTCATGTAGGATAGAATAAGTATAAACTGTGATTTAATGCAGTTTTCACATGTACCTGATCTTGCGTGGCCACACAGCAGCACATCGTCGTCACGGATGTTGACGTTGGAAATGTTCTTCACCGTTTCCCAGTTGAAACTGGGAGGAAAGTACGTTCCATCTACGTCCAGGAGAGTGTAGGGGTTTCCTTTGCAGTCCAATAACTTTGTCAAAGGCATCTTCACCTTGGTACCTAAGATACCAACAATATTTAAATACAGTTGTCCTCTGTTGTGTATTGGCATGGGTGTGACCACTAAAAAGAGAGAAACTGTGTTTGAATATACAAATATTGGTTGGCAATAAGTGAACCTGTCATATATATACACATTAAAACCCGTGAAGATTCGGGTTAAGATTGACCTTCGTAAGAGGTTACTAACGGAGGGGTCAGGCTAGCTGACTTGGTTTGACACATGTTAGCGTATCCCAATTGAGCAGATCGTTGCTCATGCTGTTGATCACTGGATTGTCAGGTGACGACTCGATTATTTACAGATCGCCGCCATGTAGCTGTAGCATTGCTGAGTGGCGTTGAGCAACAAACAAACAGAGATTATGTAACGTAGATTGTTTAGGATAGGAGTTGGTAAATCATCGTGGGGAATTTGCAAATGATATATGTGTCTCGTCACACACGACCGGAATGTGTAAACCAAACCATACACACGAGTTGAAAGAGGATTCACAAAACCATGCACATGAGGCCTGCAGCTGACACCAGGTGTCATGAATAATTTTCAGTGGACCATTCATATAATTGTTATACCTATTTTGACCTTTATATTAAATGGTGTCCTTAAACAGTACAGGAGGACACCATGAAGGAAAATCCCTTGTCGTCAGCAATCAATTCATAGGTTTCCACCATTGCACTGAAGCGCTGTAAAGTTTTTTTGGTTTTTTTTATTTGTTTTTTTATTTATGGTGTTTTGTAAGGTTATAACAGATATATAGGTACATAATATATCATTAAAGTTTCAGTAGAGGGCATATACAATATAAAATTGGAGGGATAAGGTTGAATAGTGTGATTGTAGTGAGTGGGGTCTGGAAATACAGCTGATATTATAAGTAGAGTTCGATGCTTAGCACATAGTAAGGTATATAAATGTTTCCACTTCCTTATAAAGGGATCTAAGCTATTGTTTTTCCTAGCTATATATTTTTCAGTTGTACATATCTCTTTTAATAACTTAAAAAATCCCTCAAGGCAAAGTGCTTGTTGTTTTATACTTGAAACGTAAATGAATCTTATTGTTTGAGTACACTCAAAACATGATAGTGAATTTTGTAAATGTGACATTACACTGGAGGTGGGTATTTAGAAATTGTGCTTTAAAGTTTATTTCAAGTGGAAACTGTTTCGGTAGAAAATCGAGCCTGGTTTTTCTCTGGAATACGGAAGTGTCAGTAACAGGTTCGTTGTTGAAGAGAGATGTGATGGCAATTGTGACGTCGTAGTAATAGTAATAATAATAGTAATAGTCCGCTTATGTGGCGCTCATATCCAGGCACAGTGCCTGCTCACGGCGCTACGTACATTACTATCCCCGGTCATAGGACACTATCGTACTTTCCGATACTTTTTCAACATACAGGCGTCGTAGTAAGTGAGTTAGTAAGTTTAGCTTTACGCCGCACTCAGCCATATTCCAGCTACATGGCGGCGGTTTGTAAATAATCGAGTCTGGACCAGACAAGCCTGTGATCAACAGCATGCGCATCGATCTACCCAATTGGGAACCGATGACCTGTGTCAACCAAGACAGCGAGCCTGACCACCCGATCCCGTTAATCCCCTTTTACCACAAGCATGGGTTACTGAAAACCGATATTCTAACCCGGATCTTCACGGGTACGTGACGTCGTAGACTACCCACAGCCGATCTACCAAGCTATATTGACTCGCATAACATTACATTATCCACTTTCATCGTCCTTATCTTGTTCAGACATAATTCGACAATTTTGGAAACTCTGTGATGCATGTACACATCCCTGCACGCACGCACATCCCTGCATGCACACATCCCTGCACGCAACACAGAGCTGTATGTCTGAAGCTAAGCTGAGCTATTTTCGTAATACGCACCAGTGTGATCAGTTATTCCTTACAGACCCACCTTAATCCAGCGCCACCTAGGGTCCTACAGACAAGACTGCAACTATTAACATCGGTTGTCCATCATTGACAAAATACGCGTGCAGTGTGTACGCACATTACTATGGTATCTGATGAATAGAAAATGAGAGAAACACGTGATTACAAGGTGTGGCGCAATACTCGGGCTATGTAGTACGCAGGAATCCCTTTGCTAAATATAGCGAGAGAGGCGCCAGCTACGAATGTGACCGTGATTGTTTCATCCTGTCTGAGGTTAGAAGTGAAAAAGCTTAAAGATAATGACGAGCTATGAATGCGGTAGCTCTTTATAAATGTTCATAGGTAATGATTTGATGTTCTAACAAGACAAGCAGGACTATGTTATAGGAAAAAGAATGTTATTGTAAATCCGATTGAGAGAGAAACTGGGTCAAACATTGCGAGACGCTGGCTCGCTTCAGACGCCTATTGTAAACAAACTCTACTGGATGATTCATAGCCTTGCACTGATGCTTATAAAGCCAGGTGGTTATTGTTAGAAATGTAAAAAGCCTAGTCTAAAGATAGTGAGAAAGGTTATATATTGAGACCATAAGTAGGAAGGAAATAATATGGATTTTCTCAATAGCTTTCTCCAACGGTTATACAAGTGATCGTAAACTCTCAACTACTGTAAGTGAAATGGGAACACTGTTTCAAACACTCGCTGCGTTTCTTGATGACAGATCGTGTATACTGGATAATAACATTACGATATGCGTGATCCAGTTCTGTATCTTTCGTAGACTGTGTGTGCAGGTTGAAGCTTGAGTGGTATGTGAAGTGATGTTTTCACCTAAGCAGTTATCTCCCTTTCCTATTTATTTCCTATGCGATAACTAATGTTCACTTATGCTGGTTGCATGGTTTCTTTATAAAGCGGTCGACAGCGTTGGCGGGTTATTCAAACTGCTGTCAGCACGGAGTAAGGACCGCGAGGGAACTCCCTACAAATACTGCAGGGTGAAAGAAACATTTTGTAAGGTAAGTGAGCAGCACCACTGCCTAACCAACACATGTTTAGAATAATATCAATCATGATTAGGTGAATGGGCTTGTTTAAACTATAATACTATTGCACTAGCACGCCTATTGTAGGCTACAATACGTCTTTGTAAAAGTTACACTATAAGTCATGCCGTTGTATATAGTGAACAGTATTTAACACACTACCTCTTGTATTACAGGTTTCTGGACAGTGTGTATTCTTTGTCTAATTTAGAGAAATGGGCTGCTGAGAATGAATTCATAAATGATGCTGATGTGAATTTAAAATGTATTTAACTGCTTGCAAATAACATTAGCCATAGGGAAAATGTGACACCCTCTCAAGCACAGCACACTTGTCATACATGCAGGAAGACATTCACACAGAAAAGAAATCTTCTCCGCCATGTTAGGACAGTGGACAACGACGAGAGATATAACTGTGAGCAATGTGGAAAATGTTATTCCCGCCAGGATGCACTTCAAAGTCACAAATGTGAAGCTACTCTGAAGAGGAAGGGAAGTGAAACAGCTACAGAAACCTTAGCGAAACGCCCCTGTCTGCAGCCTAAGAGTGACAGCAACATTCCAGCCAAATATGCTATCTGTATTTGGTGTGGCCACTGGAAATGCTTACTGCCAAACAAGCTATTCTGCATGAGTTGTTCGCACTCAGGTCGCGAGTGCATGAGTTGCCACCGTCCTCTCCCTGAGCGCTTCTATAGTGAGCGTGTGGACCAGTGTGATGGCTGTGTGAGACGTCATCAACGTTTTGAAGCAAGGCAGGGCAATCAGACTGTTGGAGGTCAAAGGTCAGCACTGGAAGGCTCACTGAGAACAACAACAATCACCAATTAGGGAAGCTAATAATGTGGATATCCTACAATTTCTAGCAGATGAAGAGACAAATATTGTCAATATCCTTCGGGATTTTATGTCAGAAAAGACAGGTATGAAGTGGTTTCTCACTCTTAAGTTGAAATATATCAAGTATGATGAAAATAATCAAAGTCATTTGGTTGAACCTGTTCTGAGAAGTACCTATTTTTGGGTGAGTAACCTATCAGAAATGAATGAGCAGTAGCTGAAGCTTTCCAAAAACTGTACACATCGTCTCAAGAGTTTCAAGCCGAGGGCAGTGGGTGGATCTTAGACCACATCATTCATCTTGAGGTGAATACAGCTGACTATGTCCCCTTGTCAGCATCCAGTTACATTCCTTTACCCAAATACTTGAAAAATAAAAAAACATATTTTGAACATCCAAAACAATGATCAGAAATGTTTTGTCTGGTCTATTCTTGCGGCCTTGTATCCATTGCCATTTAAAGAGCAATTCAATTCAATTCAATATTTTATTGTATGAAAGGCCATAGGCCCATATACAAAAAGAGATACATCTTAACAATGGCATATATAATCAATTTTCTAACTTATCAATTCTTTTCTTAACAAAAATGCATTGTAGATAAATAGAGCAACTTTGTGTTGTTTTGGAGGTTCTTTGCTGGAAAGTAAGGAAGACAATAGATTAACGTTGATTTGAGATAAAGACAGTTGCGGTAGATACTTATTTCTTAGATTTTCATATACAGGACAAATAAACATAAAATGGAATTCGTCTTCAATAATAAAACAGAATGGACATAATCTTTGGGTTTTCCATAGAAACATATCTTCCACGGTTAATTAATAAATCATTAAGGCCTAATCTAAACCGTATAAAAGCATTGCGAATATTTCTGTATTGAAGGTGAGCAAGATAACACTCTGGCTCAAGCAACGACTTAAACTGACGATATGAATCGTATCTAGAACTTTCATTAATAGTTGAATGCCATTCCTGCTTAAACATATCAATAGCCCGCATACGAAACTGTTTAATAAACATATTTGCATTGCCAACTGTCTGTGATAACCAAATACAACCAAAACCATATCTAAATAGTAAGGTGCGAATATGAGATGTCAGTTATTCTTTCCAAGATAATCAAGATGTAAAAGCATATTGAAAGCTTTTTAGGTAAACGATGTTCAGGCATATTAATTATTTTACACCAATATTTTAAACAACGACAATAAGATGATATGTACAATGGGAACCTCCACATTCACCATAAACCATAACATTTGGTGTTGACAAACCAACATTTAGAAACTTTTACAGGCAAGCAAATGAATTTTTTCTATGGTATAATACTCTTTAAAACCCACATTTCAGATCCATACAGTAAAATCGGTTGTATCTGAGAGTCAAATAATTTGAAGTAAATAGTCGGTGGAACAAGACCGAGCATAGGAACAACAGAGTGAAGTTGTAAAAGAGCTTTCTTTGCTCTCCTCGCCAGGTTAAGTACGGACTTATTCAGATTCAGCGTATGGGTAAACAATATGCCAAGGTATTTATAATCATTCACAACATTCATACGTTTATCTTTAAAAAACCATTTCTCTCTAGCCGACAAAGGACCACCTCTTCGGAATATAACGATGTTTGTTTTATCTAGATTCACACTCAACTGCCATTTATCTGTATACGCTGAGAGTATATCTATTTGATTTTGAAGACCAATTACAGAGCTGGACATAAGAATGACATCATCAGCAAATAATAACATAAAAAGTTCTATTACATCGGGAGAGAGTTGGATGCCATGTTTACCAGACTTCATGATATCTAAATATAATTCGTTAATGAAAAAAAAGGAGAAAAGTAAAGGACTTAAAATACATCCTTGACGCAGACCGACAGGACAATCGAAAAAGTCACTTACACCATAGCCACAGCGGACACATGACTTTACATTGGAATACATCGATCTTATGATACCATACATTTTACCTCTCAAACCTATATTTCTTAAGCATTTCCACATTCTACCTCTATCTACAGAATCAAACGCCTTTTTGAAATCTACAAAAGCTACATACAACTTTCGCTTGCTAAAGGATAAATATCTCTCAATAATAGCATACAAGGTAAATATATGATCAAATGTTGAGTAGTCCTTTCTAAATCCAGCTTGAGGTTCCGGTATTAAATCTCTCATATTCGACCACTGTGTTAACCTACTGTTGATAATAGATGTAAAAGTTTTACCTAGAATACTAGTCAGAGAAAGTTGTAGCATCTATGTAATTGTCAGGATTTTGTGCATTTCCGTTTTTATATAACGGGATAATAATAGATTGCGCCCATACGGAAGGGAAACGACCTGTATCAAATATTCGATTGAACATTTTAACCAGGAAGGGCATAATGTCAGGTAATGAGTATTTTAGCATTTCTGAAATAACACCATCAACTCCAGCAGATTTACCAACTTTAAGACGAGACACAGCATTCAGTATATCATATTCCGTAATAGGTGATTCCAGCACAAGCCTATCAACATCGTTAAACTCTTCACTTAGCACATCGCTGTCACAATCTGATAACCAATTGTCAACATCGTAAGAAATATCTTCCTTGGAAAAGAGATTCTTAAAATGACATAACCATTCCGTTTGCGATATATTTACTATGGGGGTAGAGCGACTTTGCAGAGAACGTATATTTTTCCAAAATAGTTTCGGGCTGTTTAGGGAGTTATTAAGTCGCTCAAGTCTTGACGATTGGATATCATATTTGAACTTTCTGCAAGAAGATTTATAAATGTTTCTAAGTCTGCAGTAACCTTTACGATTATATTCACTACGACATCGTCTAAATTTTCTTAGGGCTTTCCTGCTTTCTGTCCTCGCTTGTCTACAAGCTTTATTCAATTAGGTTTACTAGTTCCAGGATCAAAATGCTTCATTTGTCTTTTCATACTTGAAGCTGAATGAAGAAGACAATGTACAAAATCTGCAATGCCCTCTTCATGGGAATTTTCAAGTTTAGTTAATAAAAATTATCATTGATATGCAGCATCTGTCTCAATGATGCAGTAAATAAGTCTACCTTCGATTCATCCCAGACAAATCTAAAGTCAGCGTCATGGTCATCACAATCTACAGTACGCTTAGCATGACTGCTTAAAGGAAACCTGCAAGATAACTCAAGGGGGAAATGGTCAGAGTCCAACCGATCACCAACATTTAGCATTTCTACAAACTCAAAAAAACTAACAGATGC